AAAATTACGGCAATTAACGTCGGTTAAGAAAAGACATAACATCGGTTAACAAGTGACTCAAATTATATGGGTCGGTTTGAGAACCTACATAACATCCTCCGACGTTAAATATTTTAATGTCATTTAAACAAGTGACATGTATTTTTACATCAAAAATCTTGCGACGGTTTCTGTCTCATTTTGAGTCACTTCAACAACTGACGTAAGTCCAATCTTTTCTGTAAAAATATATTTTTGCAGATTATTTATTAAATAGTACAAAATTACAGTTAAACAAATAATACAAAATAAACCCATATATAAATCTCAATTAAATTAATCAAATATAATCTGTTTACAGAAAAGATATAAACAATATTAAAAATTGTAGTATCATAGACACATATTTGGCGGATCAATATAATACTATTCTTCAAGTATTTTAAATCATAGCTTTTGGAATTTTGATTGTGTGCTTACCTGAAACACAGAGAAATTCCAAAAGTTACAATTCGTATATATATAACAATATAATGCCAAAGATGTAAATATCATTGTTAGGTGGTCACAACTTAACTTCTTGATAAAAAATGTGATTGAGCTAAATATTTCCACTGTTTGAGCTAAGTATTTCCACTGTTTTCATAGCACATTGATGATCTAAAGAAACCATACATAAGATAAGACTGTTGAAAGTGAAACTAAATTAACAAATAATGACTCTATTAGATGATTGTGATTCCATACTTGTTCAAGTATATTCCTCACTTTCTAGATTGTGTATCTCTCTGCTTACAGCCTAGAGGACGTGTAAAAACAGTTCCACAATTACAAACAAAGGAGTAAAAAAAGTTTTAGAACAAGAATGTTGAGACACTTACTTCTCTGTGTGTAAGGAGCTGGCTTGCATTGTACTGAGCTACCACTGCTTTCAGGGTTTCATGGATGATGGAAGGAAGAACCCTTTCAGTGTAGTTCTCTCCGAGGGTTCGTAAATCTGAGGCAAATGGTCACTCATTGGCCGAGTGAGAACCCTAAGTCTAATTTTCACCTGTGCAACAACCAAGAGAAATATCAGAATTAACACAGTAACCCCTTAAGAAAAAGGCAGAAAGACACGACCGTACGTTTTCTTTCCATCTAAATATAACCTCCTTCGAAATGGCAATTTGATTTCTCAATTCATAGTCACAAAAATTAAAAATCGAAACAAAGAAAAAGGAAAAGACATAGAGTCAGAGCATTATACATTCCTCCTTAATCCACTATCCATACACTCACACAAGTCATGTAAGGACCTCAACATAATCTCTCAAAAGAAAGAATAACAAGAGTTAGACTATAGGATCAAGAAAGACATGATCGACACAAGAAAAAGAATTTTCGACACATGCAATTTCAGTAAACTCGATCACTATTATTGTAATCTCAATCTAGAAAGTACTAGATAACACACTAGTCTCATAAAGTGAAACGGATGCACATCATAAGCAATATTCAAGGTTTAAGTGTCAACACTGTTTTAGCACTACTAGTACTCCTACCAAAACTCAGTATAGTAAATCTATGATAACTTCAATACTCTCAGTTAAAAGTGAAGCATCATGACTTACTCTGAATCTTTTATAATTCTGATCGTGTTTGATCTCATCGGAGTAGATGTGACGATGCTTCTCACCGGAGTAGATCTGATTCCATTAGATCTCATCGGAGTAGATGCTACGATGTTTGTTCTCCACGACGTTAATGGAGTCGCACACTTGCAATATTTTCAAAG